ATAATTTTTAATTTATCAATGTAGAATCAAAGATAAGTTTGCAAAAAATACCTCATTACCGAAGCACTGACTACTGGGTTGATGATACCCTAGCAGTGGTATCGATCCAGTGCTAGTAAATGAAAATAACTTTATATATTTCGTGCCTTCAGAAGCGTGTTTCTGGGTTTAGCTTCATGAGGAACGCTGAAACTCAAACATTTGAAAGCCAAGGATATATAAACACGTGAAGAGCTAATCTTTTGATATCCGTAGCATGACTTGATTTCTTCTTTTTTTTTGTATAGTCTTGGTTTCTTCGCCTCATAACGTTTTTTTTTTATTTGCTGGGTTATACAGATATGTTTAAAATTGTCCCCGGTCTTTTTTTTTTGACTAGACCATCGATCCTTGAACATATACAAGAATGTATTGATGGTTGTTTTTTGTTCAGGCTTTCGTGATTAATTTTAATATAAAGCAAATTCATATATCTTCTATTCTGCTATCCCATTCTTAACTCTTCTATATAGTTGGTTTTTTCTTGTGTTTTTGTTGTTTGCAAATGGATTTGTGTTCATTTTTGCTGTCACGATATCATTATCATGGTCTCAAAGTATCTGTTTAACACCTATTTCACTTGGACAGTAGGTAATCATTATCATGGTCTCAAAGTCTCTGTTTAACACCTATTTCACTTGGACAGTATGTAATCATTATCATGGTCTCAAAGTCTCTGTTTAACACCTATTTAGTAGGTAATCATTATCATGGTCTCAAAGTCTCTGTTTAACACCTATTTCACTCGGACAGTAGGTTATCAATATCATGGTCTCAAAGTCTCTGTTTAACACCTATTTCACTCGGACAGTAGGTAATCATTATCATGGTCTCAAAGTCTCTGTTTAACACCTATTTCACTTGGACAGTAGGTAATCATTATCATGGTCTCAAAGTCTCTGTTTAACAACTATTTCACGTGGACAGTAGGTAATCATTATCATGGTCTCAAAGTCTCTGTTTAACACGTATTTCACGTGGACAGTAGGTAATCATTATCATGGTCTCAAAGTCTCTGTTTAACACGTATTTCACGTGGACAGTAGGTTATCATTATCATGGTCTCAAAGTCTCTGTCTAACACCTATTCCACTTGGACAGTAGGTAATCATTATCATGGTCTCAAAGTCTCTGTCTAACACGTATTTCACGTGGACAGAAGTTAATCATTATCATGGTCTCAAAGTCTCTGTTTAACACCTATTTCACGTGGACAGTAGGTAAACATTATCATGGTCTCAAAGTCTCTGTCTAACACGTATTTCACGTGGACTGTAGGTAATCATTATCATGGTCTCAAAGTCTCTGTTTAACACCTATTTCACGTGGACAGTAGGTTATCATTATCATGGTCTCAAAGTCTCTGTTTAACACCTATTTCACTCGGACAGTAGGTAATCATTATCATGGTCACGAAGTCTCTGTTTAACACGTATTTCACGTGGAAAGTAGGTAATCATTATCATGGTCTCAAAGGTTCTGTCTTACACCTATTTCACTCGGACAGTAGGTAATCATTATCATGGTCTCAAAGTCTCTGTTTAACACGTATTTCACTCGGACAGTAGGTAATCATTATCATGGTCTCAAAGTCTCTGTTTAACACCTATTTCACTTGGACAGTAGGTAATCATTATCATGGTCTCAAAGTCTCTGTTTAACACCTATTTCACTTGGACAGTAGGTAATCATTATCATGGTCTCAAAGTCTCTGTTTAACACGTATTTCACGTGGACAGTAGGTTATCATTATCATGGTCTCAAAGTCTCTGTTTAACACCTATTTCACTTGGACAGTAGGTAATCATCATCATGGTCTCAAAGTCTCTGTTTAACACCTATTTCACTTGGACAGTAGGTTATCATTATCATGGTCTCAAAGTCTCTGTTTAACACCTATTTCACTTGGACAGTAGGTAATATAAATTAAGGCGACAGTAGTTTACCGATGTTTAAATATCGTAATCGAATTAAAAATCAACAAAATAAACTGAGGAAAACTCCAAAGGGACCGAAACCGGGTGCGTCGACAGGGTAAATAAACTCATCTTAGATACAAGTATTAAATTTATGTACGCCAGACTCGTGTTTCGTCTATAAAAGACTCATCAGTGACGCTCGAATCAAAAAAGTAAAAAAGAACAAATAACGTACGAAGTTGAAGAGCATTGAGGGCCAAAATTAAGAAAAGTTTTATATAAAGTTCTATATTAAAAGTTATATAAAATGTCTGTCATTCTTGTTTTCGTAAATTGTTTTGTTAGAAATTAGGCCGTTAGTTTTCTGCATTGAATTGCTTCATATTTTCCTTGTCGGGGCCTTTTATAGTCGACTATACGGTATGAGTTTTTCTCATTGTTGAAGTTAGTACGGTTGCCTATAATTGCTTACATCCACTTCATTTTAACTTGGGTGGATAGTTGTCTCATTGGCAATCATACCACATCTTCTTATTTTTATACTGTAAATTGGAAGTGCTATTTTGCTTGTTGCTTTGCTTGGCGTATCTATCAGTAAGCACACATTATTTAGCGAAACTCTATTTACATCTGTTTCAAATTCAGAGAGGCTCTCTTAGTTAGATGTTTTATGGTTATAGTATGAGGATATCAATAGATCTTGTGTGTCTGCCTGTTGGGTATGTACTCATGTTATTTCACAGTTCGTGTCAAGTTCTGGTACTTCAGAGCTTAAGAACTTGTAGGGTATGGCTATAAGGACTATAACCTCAATTTTATTTTCCTTTCTGTCCTTGTGGTAGATGATATAATCTGGAGGATTTGGCTGTTTGTAATTAATAATTCAAGCCAAGTACCTGTCATTATCCTTACATTTGGCTTTATACTACTAGTGTCTATGAGGTTTTGCACTTGAGTGTTGATTTTTTTCCTTTTGACTGACAGTTACATTTAAGATCCATTAATGGTATAAATCTATTTCTGCTATCATGTTTTTCTCGCTTTAGAGCTTATGTGTGTTTAGGTTTTCATTTTCTTGTTGGCGTGCTGTACTGATATCAAGTGTACTTTCAAGTAGTGAGCTAAAACTATTATCAGTTTGATTCGCTGTTGAACCATAGCATACGGAATTGTGGTCTAGGCTGAATGGGTTGTCACAACTGAAACAATTTCATCTTACGTAGATGTTTCTATCATCCACGAATACTAGATGCATGTCTTGGCAGTTGATATGAAACCATTAGTCACAAGTATCGCATCTATAATTGGGCTCTGTCATCAAAGTCATATGCAGGTCAGTCGTTCTGTATTGGTATAATACTAAATATGGTGCTGTCAGTATGTGTTGGTTCTTGGTTTGGACTTACTAGTAGTATGAGCAGTGAATATTATGACCAAAAATAATAGCCAATTCCATTTAAGGCTAACTTTGCTTGAGTGAGGTAATGTCACGTACTGGGCCTTAGCTCCTTAATCAATCTCGGGGGGGGGGGGGGGGGCAACAGCAGCTTTTATCGACTGAGTGCTATAGAAAAAATATGAAAATGACCCTTTACAAATTTCATGCGTCCGAAGCGCTTTCTGGATTTACACGGCTTCATGAGAACGCCCAAAGCAACAAAACTTGAAAGACAAGAATGTATAAGTACTGAAGCACTTGAAGACTGCTATATATGACTAAAAGGGACCTACACTGAAATTATAGCCAAATCCATCTAAATTCATTGCATGTCTGAGGGAGTTAAAATTAGTTTCTTAATCATATCTATCAATGAACAATTCAAGAAATGTGTGCTAAAAATCAGGTCAACACAAAACACTGACTACTGAGCCGGTGATCGATACATCGGGGATTAATAGTCAACCAGCAGCGATCGATGTCGATCTAGTGCTATAAAAAAATGAAAATGTGAACATGTCCCCTATTCTAATGAGGTATTATTGCAAGTCTTACCAATAGAAACCAAATGAGACAGAATGCAAAATCGTACAGAAAATTAAAACAGACTTTTCAACTTTTATGCCAAAAAAATTGCATCAATCTCAAAAATTTGATTTCACCTACATTGTAGGATGGGAGATATGAGGTTGAAGTCGAAATTTCGAGATGTAGAAACTTCCTAAATTGAAATTGTATATTTTACTAGACTAAATTTCAATTTCAAAGAAGAAGGTCCGCTAACGGCTCATGTCAGCCTAGAATTCGAAGTACATCTGATGAAAGATTTATGACATTTTTTAAACACTTAAGTGTCTACTTCGTTCGATTCAATTAGTTTATGTTAAAGATTTGAACTGATTTGGTCATTTAAGACGCTCAAATTCAAGCTTAAATATGAAAAATCTATCAATTATGACATAAAACGTCACTTTTCAGATGGTTTTTGTCTAAAATGAAAATTGCCGCATTCGTGTTCAGTCTCAACATTTATAAATTATATGTTATGTATTATCATTAAATACAACATATATTTAAATATTAAGACATAACACAAGTGCGGCCACTTCCATTTTAGACAAAAACAGTCTTAAAATTAACACGAATGCTAAAAAAATTTGAAAGATTTCAGTATTTTTGCATGAAATAATGATGCTAGTACCTGATGCATGTCCGTTGTATTGTAAAAAAAAAACAGCCCATATCGATGTAACAAGAGTATTCTACTTTCCAATAAATAGCTAAAAGTTTACATTTTTAGCAACTTTGTGAAAACGCTATATTTTGGGGCCAAAAGGGGGTCTTACCGGACTTACACCTTTGAATTTGCAAGTTGTAAAGTCACAAAAATTAAATCTTTTCCTCATATACACTTAGATTTTTCTAAACTAATCTGTAATAATTTGTTCTTACCGAAAAATTATCCTTAACGGGCCTCCTTGTAAACGTCATACGTCAACTGTCTCGTGTTGCATATTTTACGAGTACGGAAAGAGCCGAACAAGCTTATTCTGTCGTGTGATTGGTTTAAATTGTATTCTCGTGATATCACGAAAATTCACGGCCATGTTCTCGCCCGTCATTGTAGATCACCCATTGGAAACCAAATTTGCATTAACATTGTGCTATCGATTATCAAATTGGGTTGAATAATAGTGGAAATAGAACCCTTTAACTAATTTAAATGTGCCCATATATTCTTCATTGAATTTTGATGGAAAAAGACATATGTAATAAGTGAACAGTGGACTTAAAAGTGATTATAAACCTTCGTTTAGCTTGATTTCCTTGGAATATTTACGAGCGCCATTTGGGAGATGTGACTGACAGGCTACATCTGAGAATATCAGTTTTAATGACTATTAATCCTTCTAGATCATGAGTGGACGTCCCAGAACAACGTCCTTTGCTGAAGGAAATAAAGCCGGATCGACTGCACCTTACGGCGGAATGAGAACAATAAGTAGGTATCCTCCATCAGTTGCAGTACCGAATTGGGTCATCTCACAATCAACATGGCGACCAAGAAATTGCTAATGATTTCCATTTACAGCTACATAAATTTAAGTTTCTGCATTTAACGTTTTACCTATACGATTTCTCTTACATTATTTACATTGGTTTTATTCCCACGTTGTTAACAGCCCAATCTGAACTACTGTACATCGTATGACTAACTGATATAATATGAACAAGTGATTCACAATATATAAATATTGCTTCACAGGCACTGACCTACCAAAAATTAACCTATACATGTGCTACAAAATACAAAGTATTATAATAAAAGAATGTGCAACTTCCAGTCCTGTGTCTGATTATCAAACAATTATTTTATGGCCCAACTAGTGTAAAAAAGTAAGATACCATGGGGGCAAGGATACAAGGAAAAAAATTATTCACTGACTTGTCAAAATTCAATCCTTGCTAGAAAGAAAAAGTTATCTTGAAAAGTTGCTTATTTTTTCCCATTTTTACCTACATGTTATGTGATTGTTTTGCAAATGTTATTCAGGGCTGACCCTGCTTGGCGACTGGGGCAAAGACGTCGCTTTCCTTCTGTCATTTGTCTTACCTGATCCTCAAAAGTGATATCTAGTAGCCTGGTTGTTCACAACAGTCGCTTTGTAATCAGGAATTTTTCATTTATAAGGAAAAAATTCAAAGACATTTGACAACTTATTTCTTGGAGAAATGTTTTGTAAGCATTGACTTTGTAGACTGGTCGTCAGTATTCTTTTGATAATAACAGCAGGCAATAAACTGGCCATCTGTTGTGTTCTCTTACTGCTACATTAACGGAGCATAGCTGTTAGATGTCAGGGCTCATGCTACCAGACGACTGGGGCGAAGAAGTCGCTTTCCCGTCTGTCACTTAGTCTATTTCCGATCGTCGTAGGGAGCATCAAGGAGCCCGGGTGTTCATAATTCGCTTTCATCATCAGTAATTTATCATTTTTACCAAGTTGATAAAATAGCAATTTTTCATATAAGTAAAGAAATTCAAAGACATAAACAATTTATTTCTTAAGAAACGTGGTGAAAGCATTGACTTTCATATTGGTCATTTGTTATTCCAAAGAAGCAACTTTGCATAAGTATTTTCTTTCACTCCTGGTACTGGTTACTCAAGAGTGGACAAAATCATTCTAACTTTTTGGCAAAATAAATTTGATACTGCATTAGATCGTGAGGTAATTTGCCTATAGTTCATGTATCAAATTATACTTGAAATGGCATATATTCATGAAAAATGCATCTAATTTTCCAAAAGTTGAATAGCTTTAACCTGATTTACTAGGAGTACATGTATGACAGAGTTCACGAAAGTGGTCGGTCCTGTCGGTCCTGTCGGTCAAAATGAGGCCCGGACCAGTATTTTGAAGGCTAGTGCCGGTCCCAATGACCGATGTAAAAACGGCCGTTGTAGTGCATATTTCGGCACTTTTTTACATCGGTTATTAGATGTACCGCAACTGTTTCCAATAAGTGTTTACATCGGTTATCAGATGTATCCGCTGCCAATTTCCGGTACTGGTTTACGGATTTATTATAAACAAACCAAAGCGGCGATCTACACGTGGCCTACTTTATTTGTCCATAGAGCCATCCCTGGCAAACAATCGGCGATTGAACCCTACAATGGAGCAAACAAATACTGTAACAGCCGAGAAAGTGATTCAGATGATGAAATGGATAGTGAAGATGACTTTAAATAAGAACAATCAGAAGACCTGAACTGGTCTTTTATTGTTAATTTGCCTGTGGGTGCGAAGAATAAAACTAATATTAATAAAGTTATTTTTCGATAAAATATGTTATCAATTTTTTTTCAGGATAAAATTGAGAGATTTTGTAGGACTGGCTAAAATTTTGTAGGACTGACAAATAATCATGCTTTGTCGGTCCCATGACAGACGGGTCAAAATAAGTTTTCGCGAACTCTGGTATGATAGCTTCGAAAATTGACAATATTCAAGGCTACCATTTTTTTAAAAAACCCAAAATACAAAAAATGTTTTTTTGGGAGATTTTCTACGAATTTGTGCCATTTTAAGTAGAAAGACTCCGCTCAGAAAATTTAGTTTTAAGCACTATCTAATGAACACTTCTTTTGGAAATGGTTCCCCGTTTGATGGGTTGTGAACTTGTCCCCAACCTGCTGAATATGCAACAGTGAAGTCGGTGATAGATATTGAGTTGGAAGAATTGTAGTTAATGACAAGAAAAAATTTAATTGTGCTACTATAAATGACAATTCATTCTGAAATAGGGTGAGTCGTGTAATTATGCCTGTGAAGCTGACACTTATGGTACATGTACATGTATATAGATCCAACAGATATAAATACTGATAACTTTACATACAAATGTACATATTATGTATTATCAAACAGAACTTTTGTGTCACTTTGGTTTAATCTCGTTTTTTATGAGATTCAAAATTGCTGATATGTTTCTCAAAGACAGAATGGAACATTAAGAATACTGAACATGACAAACGGAACAGGTATATGAATATGTATGTTCCATGTATTCAAAGTGAATATGAAGCACAATATTAGTTATATCTGCCTAAGAATACAAGATTAAAAAAAATTTACTGTACCAACACAGACGTAGTGTTCTCACTATGACGAGTTCATACTGTAAGTCGTGGACTACTATCCGATTACTATCTGGCGGCGGCAATGTAAACTGTATAAAGCTTTATATTTCAGAAGGTAGAAGACCTGGATGCCCCACACCTTGTATGCAGATACCTTATGTTACAAAGTTTCCATCTGTCATATGTCACTTGTCCTTGACCTCATTTTCATGGTACAGCGTCTGTTTTAAAAAAAATTGTAGTTTTTTGGTCATGTGAATTTCTCACTTTTATTATAAGCAATAGGATAACTATATTTGTTATATGAGTTCCTTGCAATGTCTACATGTCCTTCAGACAGAGTTCACCTAACCTTGACCTCATTATATGGATCAGTGATCAAGGTTAAAGTTACATGATAAGTTCTGTTTCTCGGATATTACAAGCAGTAGGTCTACTACATGTATATTTGGTGTATGGAATGATTGTAAGGAGTACATGTCAGTCTGGCAGGTTTCATTTGACCTTGTCCTCATTTTCATGGTTCATTTGTTAATGTAATGTTTTTGTGTTTTGGTCTGTTTTTCAAGTACTACATGTATTAGCAACAGGTCAAATGTATTTGGTGAATTGAATGATTGTAAGGTGTACATGTCTGTCTGGCAGGTACATGTACACCATCCAACTTTGACCTCTTTTTCGTGGTTTATTGGTTAATGTCAAGTTTTTATACGACAGCAAAAAAAATTTTGGGATCGTATAATGGTATGATGTCGTCGGCGTCTGCATCGTCTTCCGAAGACACATTGGTTTCCAGACAATAACTTTAGTTAAAGTGAATGGATCTTTATAAAATTTTTTAAGAAGGTTCAACACCACAAAAGGAAGTGAAGCATTTTATTAGTGTTTACACAATTGTAGTACTTCTTTTACATAAATGTATACATGTACATCACTAACTATAACTTATTAGTAATTATTAAGATTATAACATAGATTAGTTATATAACATTAATTAGCCCTTTCATATATACAAATGTTGGTGACATATCCCCTTAGGCGGTTTATTTAGCAATAACATTTTTAAATTCACTTACATGTATGTACTACATGTACATTTTTAAATACATTTTTCCAACTTTGGATTGATTCAGACAAAGCCGGGAAATAAACAAGGTATTTTAAATGTGCTATCAGGGTTCAACACTAATGGATAAAATCATATGCTAGCCCTCTAGCCAGAGATAGGTAAATATTTGGGCTGGTAAAGTTTTCATCACAGTAGTCCGATGGGCTACTAAAAGTATGTTTAAAACCAGGAATTTCTCAAAGTTTTACTTGTCAACAAATCCTGGTTTCACGTAAAAGCTGATAAAAACCCACCTGATACTTCCAAGACAATATTGTGTACTCCCATCTCCCATGAAAAACGTGTAGCCTGGGATCCTGGCTCAGTTCTGGTATTGACACGAAGAGGAGGTTTGGCCAGGATGCCAGGCTTGAACAACATGCAATCCCCTGGGTTTACCTATTCCCAAAAATGAAAAAAATAATTATCACATGAGTGCAAAAAGTAAATACATGATATAGGTCAACCTATTACGCAATCTTGAAGTCAATTTCTGCTCTAGGTAAAAAAAAAGTAATGTACAGATTCTTATGAATCCAACCTCCTCTTAGTCCTGCAAAAAAAAGCCAAACAAACAACTGAGGCAAAGAAAGAGTCCATTAAGAATTATAACCAGAAGCAGCAGGAGCAAAACTTCTCTTCAAAATAAGTCATACAGATTCAAGTTTTTTTTTCTAATTTTTTTGTTAGCAAAACAGGTAAACATAATTCATGCTAAACATTCAAAGCCATCTGGAAATGCCTCAGAACACCAAATTTAGCTTCATTTATTAAAAAAATTCAAGGGGGGCATGCCCTCAGAACCCCTTAGCAAGTGTTGTGCCTTTGGCATCACATCCAAGTGCCTCAGCATTTGAAGAGCTAGTAGATTTGATGGAGGACTAGTAGAATGAAAATTTAACTATAGACTCTTAAAGAAATTTAGTAAGTGTCAAACCCTGGCAATTGCCAAAACTTATTGAATTCCGCCAGTGTAGAATTTTTAAAGAAAAGGAAGAAATTTAATTAGTTTGAAAAGATAGAACTGTATCCAAATCTTTCAGAAATGTTTTCATGAGTCAAACAGATGCTTCCTTTACTATGTACTGTGCATGCGTGAAAGTATTCTTATGAATTTATATAGACACTAAAACGTAAAATACAGAATCATTTGGTATCAAATTAAACAAGAGAGACAATTTCTTACTCCGTAAATTTAATTTAAAAAATGATAATTTCCTCCCTTTTTTAAACATGAACCAATCCGTAGATGAATCCGGATTCATTCTGAATTTATTATCCACATGTCACTTCCCATTTTCATTTCATTTGAAAATACTTTACAATTTACAGTCATTAGAATCGTTCCAATAAGGACTGTACAAATTCTTGGTTCCAACTTTATAGAAATGAATTTCAAATATCGATTTAAGTTTTTACAAGGAAAATGATTATGCAGTGAAAAAGTCGTTACAAGTTCATTTATGCTGTGATTCCTGGTTTGAAAAAGATTGAACCCAACTTTTGTTGATCAGAAATGTCTCCTGAAAATAACTGATGTAAAATTTTGAACAATATTTCTGGATCCCATTATTCCCATATCCTAATCTTCATATTTAAGTGCCACATCAGTCAAATCATGCAATAACTGCCTAGCATACCGTAGAAAGGCTTGTATAGTCCGCGGTTTTATTCTCCAAAATTGGACCTTCCAGACGGGGTGCGGACTATAGAGTACAATAAGCAAGAAATAAGAGAAAAATTTCAATTTCGCGGTCGAGGTGGTTTGTTTACGTTCCGCCATCTTTGTTATTTCTATTGTAGAGGGCGCTCTTATCATTTTTCAAACTAATAATTTTAACTCATCCATATTAATAAGTTATTTCTATTCAATATCAAATTAATACTGATAAATATAAAAACTAAACCTTTCATTACAAATTTCTCGTTTCTTTTCAATGCATTGGTTGAAATAAACTGGTATCTGCTCGATTGAAACGATGCAAACATAGTGAAAAAGACAACCGTAAACCAGCTTAGAATTTGTAAACTACAAAACGAAATCGGTTATTGTTCGTTCCGTTTTGGTGTTTCATACTGACTAATATGGTTTGTATTAGCTTAAGACCCTTCAAACATTAATGTGATAGATATATTAAAGACTGTTTTACAAAAGGATGGAACTGTTTTGCTTTCAAAGTCGTATTATAGTGATATCTGTTATGTACGGATTTCGACTCTCACCGGTTAATTTCTTCTTTTACACGTGCTTTTTAAACTTCCTGTTTAAACATACACAAGTTTCTAAATTGTTTTTTAAGTGAATTAAACTTATTTTAACAATCATGAAGCGTTCTAGAATCATTAACAAGCAGTTTCAGCTTCTGTTTGATGATGGAAAACAGGTTTTTCCAAGAAAATACCGCAAACGACCGCACAGGATTTGAAATTACCGGAGTTTCATTAGACCTTTTCTAACAGTTACAAAAAGTTTTTTTTCCTAAAATTTCGTGGGGAGAAGGGGGTGCGGACTATGTACCACTGCGAACTATACAAGCCTTTCTACGGTACCTGAGTTCTTCAAAGATGTATAGCTAGTAATATATGCCCTGGTCCCTTACTGTTACCAGAAATAAGGTTGATTTTTATCTGGCGCAAAAATGACTAAAGCCCTCAAAATCCTAGCCTAAACCCTGATTAATATACTGGGTATTTATTCTCACTGAATTTAAAGGTTAGGAGTGTTTTTAAAACACAATGCTCATACTTTCATTCTTAATTTCAGGTAAAGACGGTAGTAAAGTGACAACTGTTTTAGCCACTGCTGGAACAGGATCAGATAGAACACAAGAAGTGTCATATACTGATGCAAAAGTTATAGGGAATGGTTCTTTTGGGGTAGTTTATCAAGCCAAGCTAGTCGAAACCAATGAACTTGTTGCTATCAAAAAAGTCTTACAAGACAAAAGATTCAAGGTTAGTATTAATCAAATGAATTTCAAAGATATGGAAAGGAGATAAATCTTATTTTTGTCGATTTAACATTACTTCCAAAAAATGTATACCACTGTCAAAAAGACTGTGAATTAATTGTAAAAGTGTTGATTACATTTGAACAAAAAATGTTCATTTATACAGTGTATACAATCATTCTTATTTGGGTTTTCTGACAGAACTACGCTTATTGATTTGAGGTTGTACAGCAGGCTTGCTGTCCTACACCAGTACGTGTTTCAGTGCAAAACTTATGAGCAGTTCAACCAATGCTTTTCAAATTAACTGTTGTTACTGATGACAAAATGAAGGTCAGGTTATATTTTGAAGATTTTCACTTTTGCTGTTCAAGAGTTATGGTCCTTGATTGATTGAAAAATGGGTTAGCTCTGAAATTAAAAAAACTCATTTAACCATACATTTGTATGAAGAGTGCTTATGTAATATCAAAAAAATATTTTGTTTTCCAGCTGACAAAAGTTTAAATATTTTTATGCCCCAGCCGTAGCGGAGGGGGCATTAAGTTTTACCCTTGTACGTCTGTACGTACATATGGACATACATCCCAAAATTGGTTTCCGTTCAATAACTTTAGTTTGCCTCAACCAAATGTTATGAAACTTATACACAATGCTTATTACCACAAAACACAGATCAAGATTGAATTTTGGTGGCGTCACTTTTACCGTTCTAGAGTTATGCCCCTTTACAAATGGAAAAATTGCTGAATTTTTCGTTTCCGTTCTCCAATTTTAGTTTGCCTCAACCAAATGTTATGAAACTTATACACAATGCTTATGACCAGAAAACTCAGATCAAGTTCAAATTTGGGTAGCGTCACTTTTACCGTTCTTCAGTTATGTCCCTTTATAACTATATGATATGCAAGCGGGGGCATCATCTGTGTCCACATGTGGACACTATACACATTTATTTTGTAAGAGCTTAGCAGGTATATGTGTAGCTGCACAATTGTTACATGTATACAGAGGCATTAAAAACTTGGAAGATACTGATAGGCATGATAGAGGGCTTAATTTTGGTTTGATCTGGTTTATTGCAATTGATGTTTTATTATACCCTGCTACTTGAAGCATTATCTGGGTGGTACCCAATTCTTCCTTTCCCTTTAAAAGAATTTTTTGAAACTTTCTCATAATCTTAGCTTAAATACATGTTATGTTATTGTACACCATCTACATCTATTCTTTGAACCATCAGTCCGAGACAATACTCAATACTTGAGGTGGGCACAAGAAATTGAGCAGTTTAGATGATAAATAAAAAAATAATATACAAAGCAAGTGAAGAGTAGTGTGATAAGAAAATAATGAAGAAAAAAAAAGGAAAGGTGAATACCGAAATTTGGGCTTTTGGTTCATCTGTGTGCTCATATTTTTTTTTCCATATTAATTTTGGGGTTTCCATTTACAGCAAATCATGGACTTAGCCATTGTTTTATCCCTAGGATAATGGGAAACCTCTTATAAGAATTTATTCATATTTCTTTAAATCTTAACCATCTAACATATCTCAAGACATTGAACACTTTTTTTAACCAGTTTATTATTGAGGTTTCCCTATATAGTTAGGAAATCAGATGTTGCCATTGCTTTATCATGTTTATGTGAGGACCAGCTCATTTTGATATATTATGTCATGTATTGTTTTACTTACATTTTAGAACAGAGAATTGCAGATAATGAGGAAGCTTGAACATCAAAATATTGTGAAATTAAAATATTTCTTCTACTCAGCTGGAGAAAAGGTAATAAATATCCCTTTGATCTAAATATCCAGTGTCAAAACATATAAGATGTATACACGTGTATGTATGTTTAACATTTTCTTTGTCTATAGTTCTTTCTGTTAGATAATTGACATGTAGCTATCCTGAATCTATTAATATGCAAATGATTGCTTGTCCAGGTGTAATTATTGTTTGTTAGGTTTTTTTTACCAGAAAGTTTGTTACATAATAACACTGTAATACAGTTATGTAACAATTCTTCAAAATGTTCATGGTTGAAATTCAAAATAAAAAAAATACATCAATGACTGTTTTTTGTCTCGCCTTGGGAGAGTCAAAAAGCGAGACATAGGTATGCTGTTTCTGATGGCGGTGGCGGCGGCGTCAACAATGTATTAGTTTGTGATTAGGTCTAGTTCATGGTGAACCACTAGTAATAGGCCAATGATATTTGGTATGCAATTGTATTAGCATTGGCACATCTCATTACCATGGAGACTATTTGGCCCGCCCCCTCAGTCAATTTACCGGATTTGTAATAACATGAGCAACACGACGGATGCCACATGCGGAGCAGGATCTGCTTACCCTTCCGAAGCACCTGAGATCACCCCCAGTTTTTGGTGGGGTTCGTGTTGCTTAGTCTTTAGTTTTCTATGTTGTGTCTTGTGTACTATTATTTGTCTGTTTGTCTTTTTATTTTTTAGCCATGGCATTGTCAGTTTATTTTCGATCTATGAGTTTGACTGTCCCTCTGGTATCTTTCGCCCCTCTTTTCAAGGTCTATTGACTTTGAAACTTTTCATAGTTTACATGTATTAGTTTGTGATTAGGTCAATTTATGGGGAACCACTAGTGGTAGGTCAATTATATTTGGTATGCAGTTGTATAAGCATTGGCATATCTCATTTCCATGGAGATTATTTGGCTCCGCCCCCTTAGTCATGGTCTATAGACTTTGAAAATTTTGCTAAGTTTAATAAAATTGAGAATTGAGTATTAGTTTGTGATTAGGTCAGTTCAAGGGGAACCATTAGTGGTAGGCCAATGTTAATTGGTGTTCAGTTGTATAAGCATTAGCACCTCTCATTTCCATGGAGAATATTTGGCTCCGCCCCCTCAGTCATGGTCTATTTACTTTGAAACTTTTGCTTAGTTTACATGTATTAGTTTGTGTTTAGATCAGTTTAAGCTGAACTGCTAATGTTAAAATAAGTCATTGATATTTGGTATGCAAATTTATTGGCATTTGCAAGTATCGTTTCCATGGAGATTATATAGCCCCACCCCTGATCATGGTTCATTGACTTTGAAACTTTTTCATAGTTTACAAGTTAATGTTTGTGTTTAGGTTTGTTTAAAGGGAACGACTTATAATAAGTCAATGGTATTTGGTATGCAGTTGTATTAGCATTGGCACATCTCATTCCATGGAGATTGTTTAGCCATGTACCTTCAGTCATGGTTCATCGACTTTGAATATTTGCATAACTTACATGTTAAAGTATTGCTATTTTAATTTCAACATTTGCATTATCAAAATTACAAAAAGGTGAGACATATCTCTGTGATAACAGTTTATTCAATAGACAATTTATAATGCAAATTTGCAGATCTAACATTGTTGGGCTAAATTTGAGACAAATTATATATATGTAAAATAAGAATTTCAAAATAATTTACTACCCATGATTTTGAGATGTATTATATGCAGTATTAAGTTTAAAGAATATTATGGAAATTTGAAAATGTTGTAAGTAAACATGGTAATCATCCTTTAGAAGCTAAAACCCAACAGAGGCAATCTGATAGAGTTTAAATAGTTATTGATATTATATTTCATCATTTTATTCAGTATACATGATATATATATACCAGTAGATTTTCATTTACATACAATTTGGCAAAAGAAGGAAATTGATTTTGACATCAGCACAGACACATGATTGAAGGAAAGTAAAAAATTATGTAACTGAATTCATACATAGTTACATGTGCAAATGAAAATTAGCATGAAAAATTCATATGCCATATTGGACAATCAATATTTGTATGATTGTTGCACAGCAAACAATCAGTATTCATATTTAGTCGTTAGTTCATATCATTAATTTACATGTATCCATCATTCACAACCATCTTGAATTACCACATAAAATTGCTCAGTTTTGAACTATGATGTACTCCTTTCTTTTCTCAACTCATACTTTTATATTTTTCAACAGAAAGACGAAGTGTTCCTAAATTTAGTCCTAGAATATGTTCCCGAGACCGTTTACAGAGTAGCTCGACACTATAGTAAATCCAAACAGACAATTCCTGTTTTATATATCAAGGTAAGATGTTAAAGAAAATTCAGTATTGTTTATCAAGTTCTTTAATATAACCTTACAACAAAAACCTTGCAACTATATGATTGACAACATTTGCAAACACATTTATTTAATACTTTATGTTAGGGTTCATTTATATTCTTTTCCATGGCTCAAGAACATCTGGTGAAAAAGGCCTTTGCTAACATTTTCATCATTATGCTTTAGTTCTCTGTCTACTACTATAAAAATCTGAATTTTCAAAAAAAATTCTCATCCTCTGAAACCGCAGGCTCTAATGTTACCAAACATGGCAAAAATTATTCTTAACATGTAACTTGGTCAAAGTTACTTTAAATACCTCATAAGTGTAAAATAGACAAATGGCATTTTATTATAAGTCTTTGTAACTATTTTACATTTTTATGCCCCTGCCGCAATGGAGGGGGCATTAAGTGGTACCCTTGTTCATACGTACATCCCCAAATTGGTTTCCGTTCTCTAACTTAAGTTTGCCCCAACCCAAACGATATGAAACATACACAATCCTTATTACCACAAAACACCAATCAAGTTTGAATTTGGGTGGCATCACTTTTACCGCTTTAGAGTAATGCAACATTTATCCTTCAGTCTATTACATTTAAACATACATGGTATCCAGGGAAAGGTGTAACCATCAATAGCGTCAATTTTAGAATTACTCTAACACTAACACTACATACAAATACAACCACCCATAATGAGACTTCCTTGGACCCATGCATGTTTAAATGAAACCGCCCTTAGGGGTTTAAAGTTTAAAAAAATGGGCTTACACCTTAAAAATTTTACATGTTAAATAAATGTGGCCAGCAACATTTTTTTTTTATTTCAGTTGTACATGTACCAGTTATTTCGAAGTTTAGCATATATTCATTCACAAGGAGTTTGTCATAGAGATATAAAACCGCAGAATTTATTATTAGACCCGGAAACAGGTGTACTCAAGTTGTGTGACTTTGGCAGGTTAGATAAATTTAGAATTGAGAACAGATAATTTCTCTGACACACTGAAGATACAGAGTCATTCATGATTTTTTTGGGATACAGATTTATTCATGCAATCAAAACCCTTATGGGGCTGGCTTGATAGTTATGAATTTTTGAGACATCAACACAGTAACACTACACTTGAGATGAAAAAAAATATTGTACATTGAACACATCACATCATTCTATACATCATTTCCATGACAAGAAATTTATCAATGAAATACTCAGATATTCAAGTTACAAATTGATGTTATATATAACCATAATTAAGAATTAGGATGTGTCTTCCTTTGTCTATAATTATCTCCATCTCCACACATGTTATTGCCTCCCAATGCTTAATACAATGCAATGTTTAATTTAAAGTACCCACTGAAAAATGAACGCAATCTTTACCCTTCTGTGCTCACAAGCACATTGCTTATATTTAGCTCCTGATAAAATAAGAAGAATTAAGTACTTGTTAAAAAATTGTTTTACACATGTATGGTTTCAGTTGTTTCACAACAGCTACATCTAGTTAACAATGAATCGAAAAAGAAAACTCTAGCGTTTCTTTACTTTATAGAAAAATAAAAGATAATATGATTAAAGATGTAGATTTAGAAGTTTAGGTTGGCAGTTTTTATACGACCGCAAAAATTGAAAATTTTTTGGTCGTATATTGGTATGACGTTGGCGTCGTCGTCGTCGTCGTCGTCCAGCGTCGTCCGATTACACATTGGTTTTCGCACTCTAACTTTAGTTTAAAATATAATACTTCCATGGTTTAAGTGAATGGATCTCCATGAAATTTCACCATAAGGTTCAATACCACGAAAGGAAGGTTGGGATTGATTTTGGGGGTTATGGTACCAACAGTTAAGGAATTAGGGGCCAAAAAGGGGCCAAAAATAAGCATTTTTGTAACTTTCAGACAATAACGTGTGTTAGTGTATGGATCTCTCTGACATTGTACCACAAGGTTCCATATCACAAAGGGAAGGCTGTAATTGATTTTGGGGGTAATTGCCTCAAAATTTTAGGAATTAGGGGCCAAAAAAGGGGCAAAAAACAAGCATTTTTCTAGTTTCATGACAATAACTTGTGTGTAAGTGTTTGGATATTTCTGAAATTGTACTACAAGGTTCCATATCACAAAGGGAAGGCTGGAATTGAGTTTGGGGGTAATTGCCCGAAACGTTTAGGAATTGGGGGCCAAAAAGGGGCCAAAAATAAGCATTTTTCTAGTTTCCAGACAATAACTTGTGTTCAAGTGTATGGATCTCTCTGAAATTGTACTGCAAGGTACCATACCACAAAGGGGAAGGCTGGGATTGAGTTTGGGGGTGATGAATCATAAGGGGGTTCAAAAAATTTGGGGGGGGGGGGATTTTTTTTTTTTTTTTTTTTCTTTTTTTCCTTTTTTTTTCTTTTAAAATTTTCCATTTTAAGTTGGTTATTTCTGATTTATATTGAAAAGCAAATAATAATGATATGGTAGGAGATACACACCAAACAGGATGTGTAAATTATTATATAATAAGTATTGTGCAATAGCAAGAAATTTTCAATTGCACAGTATTGCACAATAGCAAGAAATCTTCAATTGCACAGTATTGCGCAATAGCAAGAAATCTTCAATTGCACAGTATTGCGCAATAGCAAGAAATATCCAATAGCACAATATTGCGCAATAGCAAGAAATTGTCAATTGTACAGTATTGCGCAATAGCAAGAAATATTCAATTGCACAGTATTGTGCAAAAGAAGATACTTTGTATAAATTGCTTATTTCTTGATCAATTTCAATGGGGTTTTATTCTTGAATTCTTGGGGTTCTTTAATATGCTGAATCTAACCGTGTATTAAGTTTTTGGATTTTGGACCCCGTTTTTAAATTGGTCCACATTGAGGTCCAAAGGGTCCAAAATTTAACTTTGTTTGATTTCATCAAAAATTGAATTATTGGGGTTCTTTGATATGCCGAATCTAACCGTGTATTTAGATTTTTAATTTTGGGTCCCGTTTTTATACGACCGCAAAAATTAAAAATTTTTTGGTCGTATATTGGTATGACGTTGGCGTCGTCGTCGTCGTCGTCGTCCGAAGACACATTGGTTTTCGCACTCTAACTTTAGTTTAAGTGAATGGATCTCCATGAAATTTCACCATAAGGTTCAATACCACAAAAGGAAGGTTGGGATTGATTTTGGGGGTTATGGTACCAACAGTTAAGGAATTAGGGGCCAAAAATAAGCATTTTTGTAACTTTCAGACAATAACTTGTGTGTAAGTGTATGGATCTCTCTGACATTGTACCACAAGGTTCCATATCACAAAGGGAAGGCTGTAATTGATTTTGGGGGTAATTGCCTCAAAATTTTAGGAATTAGGGGCCAAAAAAGGGGCAAAAAACAAGCATTTTTCTAGTTTCATGACAATAACTTGTGTGTAAGTGTTTGGATATTTCTGAAATTGTACTACAAGGTTCCATATCACAAAGGGAAAGCTGGAATTGAGTTTGGGGGTAATTGCCCGAAACGTTTAGGAATTGGGGGCCAAAAAGGGGCCAAAAATAAGCATTTTTCTAGTTTCCAGACAATAACTTGTGTTCAAGTGTATGGATCTCTCTGAAATTGTACTGCAAGGTACCATACCACAAAGGGAAGGCTGGGATTGAGTTTGGGGGTGATGAATCATAAGGGGGTTCAAAAAATTGGGGGGGGGGGATTTTTTTTTTTCTTTCTTTTTTTCCTTTTTTTTTTCTTTTAAAATTTTCCATTTTAAGTTGGTTATTTCTGATTTATATTTAAAAGCAAATAATAATGATATGGTAGGAGATACACACCAAACAGGATGTGTAAATTATTATATAATAAGTATTGTGCAATAGCAAGAAATTTTCAATTGCACAGTATTGCACAATAGCAAGAAATCTTCAATTGCACAGTATTGCCAATAGCAAGAAATCTTCAATTTAACAGTATTGCGCAATAGCAAGAAATATCCAATAGCACAATATTGCGCAATAGCAAGAAATTGTCAATTGTACAGTATTGCGCAATAGCAAGAAATATTCAATTGCACAGTATTGTGCAAAAGAAGATACTTCGTATAAATTGCTTATTTCTTGATCAATTTCAATGGGGTTTTATTCTTGAATTCTTGGGGTTCTTTAATATGCTGAATCTAACCGTGTATTAAGTTTTTGGATTTTGGGCCCCGTTTTTAAATTGGTCCACATTGAGGTCCAAAGGGTCCAAAATTAAACTTTGTTTGATTTCATCAAAAATTGAATTATTGGGGTTCTTTGATATGCCGAATCTAACCGTGTATTTAGATTTTTAATTTTGGGTCCCGTTTTTTAAATTTGTCTACATTAAAATCCAAAGGGTCCAAAATTAAACTTAGTTTGATTTTAACAAAAATTGAATTCTTAGGGTTCTTTGATATGCTGAATCTAAACATGTGTTTAGATTTTTGATTATGGGACCAGTTTTCAAGTTGGTTCAAGTTGGGGTCCAAAATTAAACTTTGTTTGATTTCAACAAAAATTGAATATATGGGGTTCTTTGATATGCTGAATCTAAACATGTATTTAGATTTTAGATTTTTGGCCCAGTTTTCAAGTTGGTCCAAATCGGGGTCCAAAATTAAACTTTGTTTGATTTCAACAAAAATTGAATATATGGGGTTCTTTGATATGCTGAATCTTACCATGTATTTAGATTTTTTATTTGTGGGCCCGCTATCAAATTGGTTCATATTGAGGTCAAAAGGGTCCAAAATTAAACTTTGTTTGATTTCATCAAAAATTGAATTATTGGGGTTCTTTGATATGCCAAATCTAACCGTGTATTTAGATTTTTAATTTTGGGTCCTGTTTTTTAAATTGGTCTACATTAAGGTCCAAAGGGTCCAAAATTAAACTTAGTTTGATTTTAACAAAAATTGAATTTTTGGGGTTCTTTGATATGCTGAATCTAAACATGTGTTTAGATTTTTGATTATGGGACCAGTTTTCAAGTTGGTCCAAGTTGGGGTCCAAAATTAAACTTTGTTTGATTTCAACAAAAATTGAATATATGGGGTTCTTTGATATGCTGAATCTAAACATGTATTTAGATTTTAGATTTTTGGCCCAGTTTTCAAGATGGTCCAAATTGGGGTCCAAAATTAAACTTTGTTTGATTTCAACAAAAATTGAATATATGGGGTTCTTTGATATGCTGAATCTTACCATGTATTTAGATTTTTTATTTGTGGGCCCGCTATCAAATTGGTTCATATTGAGGTCAAAAGGGTCCAAATTAAACTTTGTTTGATTTCATCAAAAATTGAATTATTGGGGTTCTTTGATATGCCAAATCTAACTGTGTTTTTAGATTTTTAATTTAGGGTCCCGTTTTTTAAATTTGTCTACATTAAGGTCCAAAGGGTCCAAAATTAAACTTAGTTTGATTTTAACAAAAATTGAATTCTTCGGGTACTTTGATATGCTGAATCTAAACATGTGTTTAGATTTTTGATTATGGGACCAGTTTTCAAGTTTGTCCAAGTTGGGGTCCAAAATTAAACTTTGTTTGATTTCAACAAAAATTGAATATATGGGGTTCTTTGATATGCTGAATCTAACCATGTATTTTGATTTTGGACATTGGACCATAATAGGTAAATTAAAAAAATTGAAGTTCTTAGACCACATTCTTTCTGTGTCAGAAACCTATGCTGTGTCAAATATTTAATCACAATCCAAATTCAGAGCTGTATCAAGCTTGAATGTTGTGTCCATACTTGCCCCAACTGTTCAGGGTTCGACCTCTGCGGTCGTATCAAGCTGCGCCCAGCGAAGCATTTTATTTGTCATGATATTTAGTCCCCTAAGGGGACTTTAGGTTTGCACTCCATCCGTCTGTCTGTCTGTCTGTCTGTCTGTCCATCTGTCAGTCCGGCAAATCAGTTTCCAGACGTTTTTTCTTCGTGCTTGAAGATATTGATTTGATATTTGGTTTATTGATTTATCATGACAAGTTACAGGTCAAGTTCAATTTTCACAATTTTAGCATTTCTCATTGTTCAGTTAAAGCCCTTTCCCTAGATTTAAATTTTTGATGAAATACTAATTAGTAGATTTCTGTTTTAAGGGAAATAACTCATTTTTTAAAAGACTTTTAAAAGGCAAAATGACATTTTGGATATTTTTCCTTTTCTTTGGTAAAGTGTTTGAAGAATTTAGTGGTAGGTTTGTTTGTCATTCTTGAAGATATTGATATGATAATTAGTATATAGTTTTATCATGACAAGTTACAGATCAAGTTTGAATTTTGTTCCAGTCTGATAATTTTGTGCAGAGTTATGGTCTTTGGACATAGAAAATTCACTTAAATAATCAGTTTTCAACAGTTTTTTTCGTCATGCTTGAAGATTTTGACTTGATATTTTTATGTAGTTTACACCATGACAAGTTATAGATCAAGTTAGAATTTCGTTCCATTACAATGAATTTGTAATCGGAAGGGGACTATGTATTGCTATGCAATACTCACAGAATCCTTGTTAATTGTATAATTGTTTTTTATACGACCGCAAAAAAATTTTTGTGGTCATATATTGGTATGACGTTGGCGTCGTCGTCGTCGGCGTCGTCGTCCGAATACACATTAGTTTTTCGCACTCTAACTTTAGTTTAAGTGAATGGATCTCAATGAAATTTTACCATAAGGTTCAATACCACAAAAGGAAGGTGGGGATTGATTTTGGGGGTTATGGTACTAACAGTTAAGGAATTAGGGGCCAAAAAGGGGCCAAAAATAAGCATTTTTGTAACTTCCAGACATAACTTGTGTGTAAGTATATGGATCTCTCTGACATTGTACCACAAGGTTCCATATCACAAAGGGAATGCTGGGATTGATTTTGGGGGTAATTGCCTCCAAATTTTAGGAATTAGGGGCCAAAAAGGGGCAAAAAACAAGCATTTTTCTAGTTTCATGACAATAACTTGTGTGTAAGTGTATGGATCTCTCTGACATTGTATCACAAGGTTCCATATCACAAAGGGAATACTGGGATTGATTTTGGGGGTAATTTCCTCCAAATTTTGGGAATTAGGGGCCAAAAAGGGGCAAAAAACGCATTTTTCTAGTTTCAGGACAATAACTTGTTTGTAAGTGTATGGATCTTTATGAAATTGTACTGCAAGGTTCCATATCACAAAGGGAAAGCTGGGTTGGAGTTTGGGGGTAATTGCCCTAAACGTTTAGGATTTAGGGGCCAAAACGGGACAAAAAAACAAGCATTTTTCTAGTTTCCAGACAATAACTTGTGTTCTAGTGAATGGATCTCTCTAAAATTGTACTGCAAAGTACCATACCACAAAGGGAAAGCTGGGATTGAGTGTGGGGGCGATGAATCATAAGGGGGTTCAAAAAATTTGGGGGGGGATTTGTTTTTCCTTTTTTTTCTTTAAAATTTTCCATTTTAAATTGGTTATTTCTGATTTATATATAAAAGCAAATAATAATGATATGGTTTGAATAGCATACATGTGAACCTCCCGACAGGAGTACAATAATCCTGTTTTCAGGAGTCTCCTCCCGACCTCCGGTTGAAGAGGAAAATTATAATCCTGTGTATGAAATTTTTCATGAATGAAAAATTTCTGCCCAACATATCATCTCAGGCATCTGGTGTAACTCACATTACCTGAAGTTATATTTTACCTGTAAATCAATTAACATGCATAATTATATGGCTTCACTTGTCAGCTTGGGTGTCAAACATACTGGTAATCAATGATTTTTTACCTCAGGCTAACTGCCGTTGTGTAACAAAAACTGTGTATTTATTGGGTTACTTCCCTTGATTTATCCTGTTTTAAGTTACTTTCCTTTTAATAATGAAAACTTTTAAAAGAATATAAATAAAATAAAAATTGAACAAATAATCATAAAAGGATGGTAAATAAATGATTTTAAATGTCTTAGGACAAATAAAAAAATAATAATTTGAAAATTATTTGAGGATTCTATACTTCCTTTCAAGGCTTAAATTGAAATTTATATAATAACTATGACCCTTGTTTTACAGTTAGAATGATTTTCTGAGTATGCAAACAAAAGCTATTTGCAGATAGTTAAACAAATGTTCTGGTTGCTATAAATGTTTTATAGAATATGAAGTAAAAAATTTAAAGAACATACTGAAAAAAAATAATGTTAGATTGAACATGTAAAATATAAAGATGGAGAAACTTTATAAGTACAAGGGTACTATAAACATAATAAATTGGATGGAAAGTTGAAGAAAACACACTTTAAAAGACCATTTTTACAGCAAACGGTTACATTTACGACAAAATTTATGTCGATTAAAAACCTCCTGATCTGAGTCCTAATCTCCTGACCAAAATTTCCCAATCTCCTGATCTGAGTTTCACAGTCCATCACATGTATGAATAGGTAATTTAAAAAATTATAAGTTCTTAGACCACTTTCATTCTGTGTCAGAAACCTATGCTGTGTCAAATATTTAATTACAATCCAAATTCAGTGCTGTATCAAGCTTGAATGTTGTGTCCATACTTGCCCCAACTGTTCAGGGTTTGACCTCTGCGGTCGTATCAAGCTGCGCCCCAGCGGAGCATTTTATTAATCAATCAATTTAGCTTTATGTCAAATGAACATGCATTGAACTGTAAATAAATCTAGACTTGTGTTTAAAATTTTGTTGTGCCTTTATTTCAGTGCCAAAGTTTTAGTAAGGGGAGAACCCAACGTTTCATACATTTGTTCAAGATATTACAGAGCTCCAGAGCTAATATTTGGTGCTACAGACTATACATGTCAAATAGGTATTTATACTTTAAAACTGAATGCTGGCAGTAAGGATCCAGAAATTAGAAATATTCAAATGATTTTGGTCATTTTTATACGACCGCAAAAAAATTTTTGTGGTCGTATATTGGTATGACGTTGGCGTCGTCGTCGTCGTCGTCGTCCGGCGTCGTCGTCCAAATACACATTAGTTTTCGCACTCTAACTTTAGTTTAAGTGAATGGATCTCAATGAAATTTTACCATAAGGTTCAATACGACAAAAGGAAGGTGGGGATTGATTTTGGGGGTTATGGTACTAACAGTTAAGGAATTAGGGGCCAAAAAGGGGCCAAAAATAAGCATTTTTGTAACTTCCAGACATAACTTGTGTGTAAGTATATGGATCTCTCTGACATTGTACCACAAGGTTCCATATCACAAAGGGAATGCTGGGATTGATTTTGGGGGTAATTGCCTTCAAATTTTAGGAATTAGGGGCCAAAAAGGGGCAAAAAACAAGCATTTTTCTAGTTTCATGACAATAACTTGTGTGTTAGTGTATGGATCTCTCTGACATTGTATCACAAGATTCCATATCACAAAGGGAATACTGGGATTGATTTTTGGGGGTAATTCCTCCAAATTTGGGGAATTAGGGGCCAAAAAGGGGCAAAAAACAAGCATTTTTCTAGTTTCAGGACAATAACTTGTGTGTTAGTGTATGGATCTTTATGAAATTGTACTGCAAGGTTCCATATCACAAAGGGAAAGCTGGGTTGGAGTTTGGGGGTAATTGCCCTAAACGTTTAGGAATTAGGGACCAAAAAGGGACAAAAAAACAAGCATTTTTCTAGTTTCCAGACAATAACTTGTGTTCAAGTGAATGGATCTCTCTAAAATTGTACTGCAAGGTACCATACCACAAAGGGAAAGCTGGGATTGAGTGTGGGGGCGATGAATCATAAGGGGGTTCAAAAAATTTGGGGGGGGATTTTTTTTTCCTTTTTTTTCTTTAAAATTTTCCATTTTAAATTGGTTATTTCTGATTTATATATAAAAGCAAATAATAATGATATGGTTTGAATAGCATACATGTGAACTTCCCGACAGGAGTACAATAATCCTGTTTTCAGGAGTCTCCTCCCGACCTCCGGTTGAAGAGGAAAATTATAATCCCGTGTCTGCCCAACATATCATCTCAGGCATCTCAGCTGGTGTAACTCACATTACCTGAAGTTATATTTTACCTGTAAATCAATTAACATGCATAATTATATGGCTTCACTTGTCAGCTTGGGTGTCAAACATACTGGTAATCAACGATTTTTTACCTCAGGCTAACTGCCGTTGTGTAACAAAAACTGTGTATTTATTGGGTTACTTCCCTTGATTTATCCTGTTTTAAGTTACTTTCCTTTTAATAATGAAAATTTTTAAAAGAATATAAATAAAATATAAATTGAACAAATAATCATAAAAGGATGGTAAATAAATGATTTTAAATGTCTTAGGACAAATAAAAAAATAATAATTTGAAAATTATTTGAGGATTCTATACTTCCTTTCAAGGCTTAAATTGAAATTTATATAATAACTATGACCCTTGTTTTACAGTTAGAATGATTTTCTGAGTATGCAAACAAACGCTATTTGCAGATAGTTAAACAAATGTTCTGGTTGCAATAAATGTTTTATAGAATATGAAGTAAAAAATTTAAAGAACATACTGAAAAAAAAAAAATGTTAGATTGAACATGTAAAATATAAAGATGGAGAAACTTTATAAGTACAAGGGTACTATAAACACAATAAATTGGATGGAAAGTTGAAGAAAACACACTTTAAAAGACCATTTTTACAGCACACGGTTACATTTACGACAAAATTTATGTCGATTAAAAACCTCCTGATCTGAGTCCTAATCTCCTGACCAAAATTTCCCAATCTCCTGATCTGAGTTTCACAGTCCATCACATATATGAATAGGTAAATTAAAAAATTATAAGTTCTTAGACCACTTTCATTCTGTGTCAGAAACCTATGCTGTGTCAAATATTTAATTACAATCCAAATTCAGTGCTGTATCAAGCTTGAATGTTGTGTCCATACTTGCCCCAACTGTTCAGGGTTTGACCTCTGCGGTCGTATCAAGCTGCGCCCCAGCGGAGCATTTTATTCAAAGATAGTCACTCATGTCACCTGGAAGGTATTGGTAAGAAAAAACACCGTTTCAATGATTCTGCTATTTTGACAAAGATAATATCTCTAGGATAATACCATCCTTGTTTGTGATGCACTGTGCTTGCACCCTGAAAATGGTGTCATTTTAGAAAGTTAAGTTTTATTCTAATTTAACAACTTAGTAGTGAGCAGGGATGACAATTTATAAGTATACATTGATTTATAAAATCAGTAAAATATTGATTTTTCCAAAATTTAAAATTTTAAGTTTTAGGCATTTAAATGTCAAATTATGGATCGTTCAAATGTCAAATTTTACGTCTGGATATGAGGTGTAAATAAACGACACATACCCATCAAATTCCAAAGTTTCGTCTCCAAAGTTGCTATTTTCACACAATAATTCTTTGAGTATAACTGATGTTATTTGCTTGTAACCTGGCAAACCTATAGGGGAACTGTTTTGAAGATCTTGTCCACTTGCCAGGTGTTATAACTTTAAAAACAAGGGTACAATAGCATGTTGTTCTCTGTTAAAAGGTGCAATGTCAAATCAAACCTTTGGAAAAACAAGATAGTGTGCTTGATTGCAATATTTAACATTATTCTGTCCTAATTTTCAGATGTGTGGTCTGCAGGGTGTGTTCTGGCCGAGTTACTTCTAGGCCAGCCAATATTTCCTGGAGACAGTGGCGTTGATCAACTGGTAGAAATAATAAAAGTCCTAGGCACCCCAAACAGAGACCAAATAAAAGAAATGAATCCTAATTACACGGAATTTAAGTTTCCACAGATAAAAACACATCCGTGGAACAAGGTTGGATATTAAAATATATAAGAGTAAACAATTATGTGTTAAAACGTAGGTTTCCCTTCTTTGAAAGATGCAGTTGTCTGACTTGTCAACACTGCTGGTTGGGGTGGTTAGAAGTGGAAGTAAAGGATTGTTTTTCAAGTGCTTTAAAAAAGAAATAAACACAAGCAAAAAAAAAAAATAATTAAAACTAACCAAAAGCCCAAAATGCAAAGTTATTATGGAAAAATAGAACAACACTATGTAAGGTAGACATCAGCAAGATGGAAATTCAATGATACAAGAAATTGAAAGACATCGTTTGATAAATTTCTTAACAATTTGACAGAAAAGTTGTGAATATTTTTTAGGCTATCAATAATATGCAATCAACACCAAGTTCTTTCAAAGACAAAATCATTATGATACAATGAAGACCACTATTCATCATCCTTTTAATGTCAATCATGGGGAAAAAACAAGATGCACAGAATAGAAAATACAAAGAAAAATTATTACATAAAAATCACTAAACATATATAAACACCTGTATAGTAGATACAAAAACAATATAAAAAAGGCAATGCTGTCTTTTACTGTATTATCAGCTGTACTTGAAGTAGATTTTTTGACTGCATAAGACATAAAATACATCAATAAGGACAGAACTAACATTTCACATTTTATCACATTTTAAGATTTGTACATGTGATGACTTCAGATTTCCTCAGCAGACATCACAAATATATGAGGACAAAGTCCTTAATAGCAGTAAGAAAATCCCTTAAAAGAAAAATCAAATGTAGGTACTCATTTACAACATTTGCAATTGCAAATATTCATCTTGACTGAGGCTGCAGTTTTGTAAAGCATATGATTACCCACAAAATTGTGTAAATCTGTGACAGGGCCTATTTACTGTACCTTGACAAAAGTTACTTAAGATAAAAAAAAAATATCCTACTTTCTGGATTTCCACTTTTACCATTGAAATTACAATGTGTTATATGAAAGAAATCATCTTGAAGTATTAACTATTAAAAAAACTCATTTCATAATTCTATTGTAGGTTTTTAGACCAAGAACACCACAAGAGGCTATACAGGTTGTTAGTCGGTTATTAGAATATATTCCGTCGGCTAGAATATCTCCTCTCGAAGCATGTGCTCATTGTTTTTTTGACGAATTGCGAGAACCATCTACAAGGTTACCAAATGGTAGAGAATTGCCACCCTTATTTAATTTCACCCCTCAAGGTAACTACATTTATTTTAACATCTTTGTGAAAATAGAAATGCAAGTAGAAATATACAATATGTGGAAGTAAATATTTTGTGACATATGAGTTGTTTAATTCTACAATAGATCATCAGGGAGTTTCAGATGAATTATATGGTTAGATTATTTTATTTGAAACAACTGCTACTTTTAAATCATAGCATAACGTACATGCTGTTAAATTTGTAGATACTTAGTAACATCTGATAAGGAATCTTTTAATATCAATGTTTATCTGAATTTTCATGTCCCACTGTGTGGTAGTTGAGGCATTAAGAGTTAATATCGTCTTTTCGTCAATCCTGTTTTTTTCTTCCATTGACAAAAGTTGGACATAAAAAAATATACCAAAACATACAGAATTTTTCAATGTTGTTAGGTACCATTTTAACACATTTTTCGTTCAAATAAATTTACTATGGTTCAACTAAATCTTGTAATATTATATCACAATTTGAACCATAAAATAAGTCTCCTTCAATTATGAAGATATTTATCATATGTCATTCATGAGAACTCCACTGATTAGAATTTTTACAAAATAGTTGAATTTACTGTATAGTACGTTTGACTTCTATAAATCTTCAGAAAATAATTCTTAAAAATTCATTTTTACAAATAAACATTTTTTTTCTTGATGTATGTTAATGTATGATATATACGAACTCTGACTATGAATATCATAATTTTAGGCCAATAATCAAAAAAGTTACCCATTAGGTCTCTATGTTACTTCTATTTTTATACGACCGCAAAAAAATTTTTGTGGTCGTATATTGGTATGACGTTGGCGTCGTCGTCGTCGTCCGGCGTCGTCCGAAGACACATTGGTTTTCGCACTCTTAACTTTAGTTTAAGTGAATGGATCTTTATGAAATTTTACCACAAGGTTCAATACCACAAAAGGAAGGTTGGGATTGATTTTGGGGGTTATGGTAATAACAGTAAAGGAATTAGGGGCCAAAAATAAGCATTTTTGTAACTTCCAGACATAACTTGTGTGTTAGTGTATGGATCTCTCTGACATTGTACCACAAGGTTCCATATCACTAAAGGAATGCTGGGATTGATTTTGGGGGTAATTGCCTCCAAATTTTAGGAATTAGGGGCCAAAAAAGGGGCAAAAAACAAGCATTTTTCTAGTTTCATGACAATAACTTGTGTGTAAGTGTATGGATCTTTCTGAAATTGTACTACAAGGTTCCATATCACAAAGGGAAAGCTGGGTTTGAGTTTGGGGGTAATTGCCCTAAACGTTTAGGAATTTGGGGCCAAAAAGGGGCCAAAAAACACATTTTTTTCTAGTTTCCAGACAATAACTTGTGTTCAAGTGTATGGATCTCTCTGAAATTGTACTGCAAGGTACCATACCACAAAGGGAAGGCTGGGATTGAGTTTGGGGGTGATGAATCATAGTGGGGGTTCAAAAAATTTGGGGGGGGGGGATTTATTTTTTTTTTCCTTTTTTTTCTTTTTTTCCTTTTTTGTTTCTTTTAAAATTTTCCATTTTAAGTTGGTTATTTCTGATTTATATTTAAAATCAAATAATAATGATATGTTTGGTGTGTATCTCCTACCATATCATTATTATTTGATTTTAAATATAAATCAGAAATAACCAACTTAAAATGGAAAATATAGTGTAAATTATTATATAATAAGTATTGTGCAATAGCAAGAAATTTTCAATTGCACAGTATTGCACAATAGCAAGAAATCTTCAATTGCACAGTATTGCGCAATAGCAAGAAATCCTCAATTGCACAGTATTGCGCAATAGCAAGAAATATCCAATAGCACAATATTGCGCAATAGCAAGAAATTGTCAATTGTACAGTATTGCGCAATAGCAAGAAATATTTAATAGCACAGGATTGTGCAAAATAAGATACTTCCTATAAATTGCTTATTTCTTGACCAATTTCAATGGGGTTTTATTCTTGATTTCATGGGGTTCTTTAATATGCTGAATCTAACCGTGTATTTAGTTTTTGGATTTTGGGCCCCGTTTTTAAATTGGTCCACATTGAGGTTCAAAGGGTCCAAAATTAAACTTTGTTTGATTTCATCAAAAATTGAATTATTGGGGTTCTTTGATATGCCGAATCTAACTGTATTTAGATTCTTAAATTTTGGTTCCGTTTTCAAATTGGTCTACATTAAGGTCCAAAGGGTCCAAAATTAAACTTAGTTTGATTTTAACAAAAATTGAATTCTTAGGGTTCTTTGATATGCTGAATCTAAACATGTATTTAGATTTTTGATTATGGGCCCAGTTTTCAAGTTGGTCCAAATCGGGGTCCAAAATTAAACTTTGTTTGATTTCAACAAAAATTGAATATATGGGGTTCTTTGATATGCTGAATCTAACCATGTATTTAGATTTTTGATTTTTGGGCCCCGTTATCAACTTTGTCCACATTGAGGTCAAAAGGGTCCAAAATTAAACTTTGTTTGATTTCATCAAAAATTGAATTATTGGGGTTCTTTGATATGCCGAATCTAACTGTGTATTTAGATTCTTAATTTTTGGTTCCGTTTTCAAATTGGTCTACATTAAGGTCCAAAGGGTCCAAAATTAAACTTTGTTTGATTTCATCAAAAATTGAATTCTTGGGGTTCTTTGATATGCTGAATCTAACCATGTATTTAGATTTTGGATATTGGACCATAATAGGTGAATGTCCAATTTAAAATTTTTAAGTTCTTAGACCACATTCAATCTGTGTTAGAAACCTATGCTGTGTCAAATATTTAATCACAATCCAAATCCAAAGCTGTATCAAGCTTGAATGTTGTGTCCATACTTCCCCCAACTGTTCAGGGTTCGACCTCTGCGGTCGTATCAAGCTGCGCCCTGCGGAGCATTTTATTTTTTATATAAAATACTTGATGGAGTAAGTATGAATAGTGTAACAGCCTTCCATTCAAAACAAAAACATAAGACATGTGTTTTAAACCTGTTTCATTATACCATGTGACTTTTCTCATTTAAATAACGCTGACCAGCAAACAAACTTGGACTTCATTCATGTTGTCATTTAAGTTTTATGTCATGTGATTACTGAACTTATTGTTTACATGAATTTGTATTTTTCATTGTTCAATTTCTATGAGTAACCTTAGTAATATTTTTCACTGGACATTACTAGTATAACATTTTTAAAAACTACAAAGTAGTTTTATGCAAAATTCAGTTTAGAAATTTTATTAAAAAGTTCCCCTTTTCATCAGTAAAGGTCTTTATGGTTATAATTTATCTAATTTTATTTTCATATTTTGAAAGTCATAAGCTGTGTTTTTTCAAGAAAAAAGTTAATATTAAATGTATTCTGTAAATACGTATTGGTGAAACTTTTTAGAGGCTCTCCATTTTGTTAACACTGTCATCATGCTTTAAGCACGAAAAGCTTGCTTATATTCTTTTATAAGATATATATAAATATATAATCAAATTAAGGTAACAAAAATTAAGATTTGGTAAGGAATAAAAACAAAATAAAACATCTGATTATTATATTTTCCTCCACAAATAACATCTTTGTAGATACATGCAAGTTAATTTTGTAAAATCATATAAAACCAGTTATAAAAAAACTTAGATGATGGTCATTTTTCATGACATGTATAATGTCCTTTGATATTTAAATGAGTTAAGTCACATGGTACAATGAAACAGGTTTAAAGCACATGTCTAATGTTTTTGTTTTGAATGGAAGGCTGTTACACTATTCATACTTACTCCATCAAGTATTTTATATAGAAAAAAAATAGAAGTAACAAAGAGACCTAATGGGTAATTTTTTTTATTATTGGCCCAAAATTATGATATTCATAGTCAGAGTTCGTATATATCATACATTAACATACATCAAGAAAAAATTGTTTATTTGCAAAAATGAATTTTTAAGAATTTTTTTCTGAAGATTTATAGAAGTCAAACGGACTATAGTTTGTTTGGTTTTGTGTATCGATATCCATCATCAGTGTCCAATAGACATATTCTGGAACTGATATGGGTTTTAATTAAGACTTTTTATACTCCATATTGCAATCGCCTTGTCCGTCCATATGCCCAATAAATATTTTTGTCACATTTTTCTCACTAACTACTAAGGGCTGTTCCATAAAAACATACTTGGGACCCAGGGAAGGCAATTCCAAATCTCAACTGGATGGGTGTCATCTATGTTTTTGCATAGTGGAAATGTCAGTGAAATTTTAATTTGCCTCTATAGGTGGTTACCCCATTTTTGTCCCGCTTTGACGGAGTCAAAAAGTGAGACATAGGTATGCTGTTTCTGGTGGCAGCGGCGGCTGTGTCGTCAACAATATATTAGTTTGTGATTAGGTCTAGTTTATGGTGAACCACTAGTGGTAGGTCAATGATATTTTAAAGTGACTTCCCTGGGTACCATGTATGTTTTAATGGAACAGCCATAAACAGAATGACTTCATATGGTCAGCAGCTTTACAGTGATTAGTTATGATGAGTGAACACTAATCAGATCTGTAAGACACCTACATTTTCTGATTCCTAAGAATTGCAAGTGGGGTATACTTAACAAGACAACATGTGCATTCTTGTGAAACTTTGTGTGTACCTTATTGAACTGAAATTGGGGAAATGCTTATAATTGAAAAAACATAATCTTACCTACATGTATGAACAGAATAGTAGCACAAAGTATATTGCAAGTCTATAGAACATATCTAATATATAATTCAACAATATTATAAATCAGAAAAGAATTACTTATCATAAGTTGTAATAAAAAAATTAATTGATTTCTTGAATATTCTTCAGAATTATCAATACAGCCTAATCTCAACCCTAAACTTATACCTCCACACATTCGTGCCATTGTAAATGACGGGCCACAAAGCTCATCTCAGGACACTACAACCAACCCAGACGCCCAGGGTACAACAGCTACTGGAGGCACAGCTTAGAGATATATTAGGATTTTAGTGAATCTACAGCAGGGATGTCACCAATGAATAGTTTTACAATGATGTGATATGATAAAATTCGTTGATTGGAGATTGGCATGTTTTAATTTTGATCATCCTCTTACTGCAAGTAAAACATTGGGATGATGATGATGATGAATTGTTGACGGATATTGTTGAAGCTTGTGATTATAGAAAACAATTTTTATCTGAAATAATCAATGGCATTTTTATCCACGATTTTATTAGTTATATTCATACAGAGTATGAAATTTTTAATAATGAATGTTCAGCGGATGCCAAATAGACTCCAATCATACTGCCGAACATTTGTTTGACGGACAGAGTTTGCATGAGTGTGTAAATGAATGAATGAATTGTTGTGAATGTTACTTGTTATAGCAGTACAGAATACCAGTATACAGGAGGAAGCATAGTAGACATTACCTTGTTCAGGCTGACTACAATGCTTTCTTTCCAAGGTTGGGGAGCATTTTAGTAAAGTGCTTTCTTGCCTTGAAGTAATATTATAGTCCAGTAACTTCAATGTCTCCTTATTACTTAATCTGCATTCTATTGATTAAGTTTGATATAAAAAGAAATTGATAGAATGTAGTGTGATTCATATTTTTATACGACCGCAAAAATTGAAAATTTTTTGGTCGTATATTGGTATGACGTTGGCGGCGTCGTCGTCGTCGTCGTCGTCGTCGTCGTCGTCGTCGTCGTCGTCGTCCGGCGTCGTCTGGCGTCGTCCGAAGACACATTGGTTTTCGCACTCTAACTTTAGTTTAAGTGAATGGATCTCCATGAAATTTTACCATAAGGTTCAATACCATGAAAGGAAGGTTGGGATTGATTTTGGGGGTTATGGTACCAACAGTTAAGGAATTAGGGGCCAAAAAGGGGCCAACAATAAGCATTTTTGTAACTTCCAGACAATAACTTGTGTGTAAGTGTATGGATCTCTCTGACATTGTACCACAAGGTTCCATATCACAAAGGGAAGGCTGTAATTGATTTTGGGGGTAATTGCCTCAAAATGTTAGGAATTAGGGGCCAAAAAAGGGGCAAAAAACAAGCATTTTTCTAGTTTCATGACAATAACTTGTGTGTAAGTGTTTGGATATTTCTGAAATTGTACTACAAGGTTCCATATCACAAAGGGAAAGCTGGAATTGAGTTTGGGGGTAATTGCCCGAAACGTTTAGGAATTGGGGGCCAAAAAGGGGCCAAAAATAAGCATTTTTCTAGTTTCCAGACAATAACTTGTGTTCAAGTGTATGGATCTCTCTGAAATTGTACTGCAAGGTACCATACCACAAAGGGAAGGCTGAGATTGAGTTTGGGGGTGATGATTCATAAGGGGGTTCAAAAAAATTTGGGGGGGGGATTTTTTTTTTCTTTTTTTCCTTTTTTTTTTCTTTTAAAATTTTCCATTTTAAGTTGGTTATTTCTGATTTATATTTAAAAGCAAATAATAATGATATGGTAGGAGATACACACCAAACAGGATGTGTAAATTATTATATAATAAGTATTGTGCAGTAGCAAGAAATTTTCAATTGCACAGTATTGCACAATAGCAAGAAATCTTCAATTGCACAGTATTGCGCAATAGCAAGAAAATCTTCAATTGCACAGTATTGCGCAATAGCAAGAAATCTTCAATTGCACAGTATTGCGCAATAGCAAGAAATATCCAATAGCACAATATTGCGCAATAGCAAGAAATTGTCAATTGTACAGTATTGCGCAATAGCAAGAAATAATCAATTGCACAGTATTGTGCAAAAGAAGATACTTCGTATAAATTGCTTATTTCTTGATCAATTTCAATGGGGATTTATTCTTGAATTCTTGGGGTTCTTTAATATGCTGAATCTAACCGTGTATTAAGTTTTTGGATTTTGGGCCCCGTTTTTAAATTGGTCCACATTGAGGTCCAAAGGGTCCAAAATTTAACTTTGTTTGATTTCATCAAAAATTGAATTATTGGGGTTCTTTGATATGCCGAATCTAACCGTGTATTTAGATTCTTAATTTTTGGTTCTGTTTTCAAATTGGTCTACATAAAGGTCCAAAGGGTCCAAAATTAAACTTAGTTTGATTTCAACAAAAATTGAATATATGGGGTTCTTTGATATGCTGAATCTAACCATGTATTTAGATTTATGATTATGGGCCCAGTTTTCAAGTTGGTCCAAATCGGGGTCCAAAATTAAACTTTGTTTGATTTCAACAAAAATTGAATATATGGGGTTCTTTGATATGCTGAATCTAACCATGTATTTAGATTTTTGATTATGGGCCCAGTTTTCAAGTTGGTCCAAATCGGGGTCCAAAATTAAACTTTGTTTGATTTCAACAAAAATTGAATATATGGGGTTCTTTGATATGCTGAATCTAACCATGTATTTAGATTTTTGATTGTTGGGCCCCGTTATCAACTTTGTCCACATTGAGATCAAAAGGGTCCAAAATTAAAATTTGTTTGATTTCATCAAAAATTGAATATATGGGGTTCTTTGATATGCTGAATCTAACCATGTATTTAGATTTATGATTATGGGCCCAGTTGTCAAGTTGGTCCAAATCGGGGTCCAAAATTAAACTTTGTTTGATTTCAACAAAAATTGAATATATGGGGTTCTTTGATATGCTGAATCTAACCATGTATTTAGATTTTTGATTATGGGCCCAGTTTTCAAGTTGGTCCAAATCGGGGTCCAAAATTAAACTTTGTTTGATTTCAACAAAAATTGAATATATGGGGTTCTTTGATATGCTGAATCTAACCATGTATTTAGATTTTTGATTGTTGGGCCCCGTTACCAACTTTGTCCACATTGAGATCAAAAGGGTCCAAAATTAAACTTTGTTTGATTTCATCAAAAATTGAATATATGGGGTTCTTTGATATGCTGAATCTAACCATGTATTTAGATTTTTGATTATGGGCCCAGTTTTCAAGTTGGTCCAAATCGGGGTCCAAAATTAAACTTTGTTTGATTTCAACAAAAATTGAATATATGGGGTTCTTTGATATGCTGAATCTAACCATGTATTTAGATTTTTGATTATGGGCCCAGTTTTCAAGTTGGTCCAAATCGGGGTCCAAAATTAAACTTTGTTTGATTTCAACAAAAATTGAATATATGGGGTTCTTTGATATGCTGAATCTAACCATGTATTTAGATTTTTGATTTTTGGGCCCTGTTATCATTTTTGTCCACATTGAGATCAAAAGGGTCCAAAATTAAACTTTGTTTGATTTCATCAAAAATTGAATTCTTGGGGTTCTTTGATATGCTGAATCTAACCATGTATTTAGATTTTGGATATTGGACCATAATAGGTGAATGTCCAATTTAAAATTTTTAAGTTCTTAGACCACATTCATTCTGTGTCAGAAACCTATGCTGTGTCAAATATTTAATCACAATCCAAATTCAGAGCTGTATCAAGCTTGAATGTTGTGTCCATACTTGCCCCAACTGTTCAGGGTTCGACCTCTGCGGTCGTATCAAGCTGCGCCCTGCGGAGCATTTTATTATTTATTTGAGCAGAACTTGCTTTGAAAGTGAAGACATTGTTTATATAAATGAAGAGTACTGCATCATATGGATTACATTAAGAAGCAAAAATACTGATAGTAATATATTTATTGTCAGGGCTATTCAAGAAAATGTCTTGGGGTCCTTTGAGGGCATTAACATTCAATTTTTTTGAGGATGATGGGGCAAGTTAGAAATATTTCAGTGAAGCAAAATAAAATAAATATGTTGATGTTCTTTCAAAGACCTCAATAGAAATTTTTCTGGAACATTAAAAGAAAATTTATTTTTTTTATATTTTCACTTCTTGAATTTATATTTTCACTTCTTGAAAAGGGATAACTACATTTAAAGTTCTCTAAATTTTGGGACTGAAATTTTTCCTGTGATTTTTAATGCTCTTTTGAGATTTGTTTTCGTGTTTCCTTCTCTTATGCTCAATATTTATGATTTAAAAGATAGATAGAACAGCTTTGGTTATGTAAGAAACTATGATATGCATGATGTAGCAAATTTAAGTCCAGAGTATGTAAATATTTAATTCAGGACATGGATTTTTTTGCAGCTAAATTCTACAATACAGAATAAATAAATACAGCTAGCTTAGGAATTAAAAATGCATCTGAATTTCTCACACATTCAGTTGAAAAAAAATCATAGTGAATGAGGCAAAAGATTATATTCTTTTTCTGGATGTTTTGTTTTTTTCTAGAAAGAATCCAAAAGCTGACATATTGGAAAGTGATTTAGTTTTATTTTACACATTACCACAAACCAATCTTACAATCAACTGTTTTTACACATTTTATTATACCTTTCACCATTTTAAATGAGATGAATGTTATTTTACTGCAGTTTGATAGCCACATTAACGTACTGATTCTCGGATAAAATAACATGATTTTTGAGTTTCAAAAAATAAAACATCTTTATGCAAAAGTATATGACATCTACTTTCAGTTTATAAAAACACAGTTGTTTCACAATAGTAATCAGAAACATTTAAAAAAAGGGAATATCAAATTAAAAGAGAATTTTCCCAATATATATGTTCTAATAGTATTTATTGATAATGTGATTTTATGAACATAATGAAAGAGTTGACACAGTATGCATGAATCTTTGAACAAGAGGTCACTACTATGTTGTAAAATTTTCCTTTGACATCTATTTATTTGCATTAGCAAACACTTTTTCTTATCTTCCATTCATGTTATTTATTATTTTCTATATTGTAACATTTTTTTCTATTGACATATAAAGAAAATATTAGCAGATTATAATACAAATGAATTCGGTCTCAAATTAAAAGGAAAAGTGTTTTGTTACTAGTCAGATTCCTTTTCTGTCTTAAGACATTGTATCAAGAGTTTTGGGGTTGGTTTAAATATCGTTATTTGTACTATTTAAGCGATAAAAAACTTAAATTGAAAGAGAATTTTACAGACTTTCAATTGATAAAATTGAAAATAACAAATCCTGAAAATACTAAAAACTTTGTTGCTAATGTGTTATTTGTTATTTTTTCTTGTGGTAAAGAATTTCAATCAGAATGAATAATTTGTCTGATTTTGTCTACTTAGTTTTATAGTATTCTAATAAATTATTAATGATATGATTATGAAAATGCAAATAGAAAAATATAGATGTAATTCAAAAAAGGTTCTTTTGAAAGTGAAAAGTCTCTTTAATATATGCCATGGTCTTAACTTTATGGAATCGTCATTGACAAGTCTTAAGTTAAATTAAGATTCTATAAAACTGTTTCCAGCCATCAACATTTCATGATAATGGTAAAAAATGGTTATCTAATTTCAAATCTGATATGATTTATTTTGTCTAGAAGGTTTAACTGTTCATTTAAGGTTTATTTCTTCTTTTTTTTTAAAATTTGTACACACCATGGCCAAAAATTACACTCATTTGAATTTAAAATCTTTAGTGAAAATCTGGTTTTGGAAGAAATCTGAAAGAAACAAGACATTTTTACATAGACATTTTGAATTCAGATTCTGCAGGAAGAATATTTTCATTGCATAACCAGTATTATAATCACAGTAATCGATCACCAAACAGTGAAATAATTCTGAAGTGATGGAAAACATGTCAAAACTGTACTCTAGTTGACAGTGAATATTATTTAGTAAATTCTGTGTAATTTAAACATAATCATCAGTCAGGAAAGGTGTTTGTTTTAGACACATTTCACTGTAGTTACAATGAATACATGCATTTTAGGTGACCACATCTGTTCAGTTGTGTATGATGTAAAATGTTGGTAAATAAAAATTAAAGATGACAATAAATCTATGTCTAATTATGTTTATGGAAATAATTTCCAAATTTATTGATACCCAGTTTAAAATTTTTAGGAGTAACGGTCCTTGATTGTTCGAAAAATGGTGCTTGATAATGTTTCTAGAGGGCCTCAGTGGACGAATGGCATAAGTAGTTGAACTACTGTATCACTAGCCTGTTAACACTGAGGGTGTGAGTTTGAAATTCCGCATGTGGCAGGTGTGCTCAACTCGAATCTTGTTTGACTAGGATTGTCAGTTTTCCTACAGTAAGTTTTGGTTCTCCTGGCACTACAGCTTCCTCCACCAAAAAAAAAAAAAAAACGCCATGAAGTAGCACACTAATGCAGAAAGTGGCATTAAACACCAAACAATCAATCAATAAAGTGTCTATGTGATAAGTAGAGAACCATTTACCATTTCTTTTAAAATAGTATGTTGTTTCTGATGACAAATTGGGTTTTGTTTGATTTTGACATTTTCCAGATGTTGTGGTGTTTGATTGATTTAACAATGACAATAATAAATGTAATGAAAACAGTTTTTGTCTCGCCTGCGAAGAGAGACATAGGGATTGCTTTTCCGGTGACTGCGGTGGCGTCAACAATTGTTAAGTTTTTTGCTTAAGTTTGTTTGATAGGAACTACTTGTGATAGATTATTAGTCCCCTACCGACGAAGTCGAAGGGGACTTTAGGTTTGCTCTCAGTCCGTCAGTCCGGCAAATCAGCTTTCCACACTTTTTTTCTTCGTTCTTGAAGATATTGATTTGATATTTGGTATATAGTTTTGCCATGACAAGTTATAGATCAAGTTCGAATTTTGTTCCGGTCTGATGATTTAGTCCAGAGTTATGGACCATAACTCTGGACCATATCTAATGTTAGAGTACTATGTTAAACCATATTTCTGTACAAAGGGAGATAACTCATTTTTTAAAAGACATTCTTTGGTAAATTATTTGAAGAATTTTTTGGCAGGTTTGTATGTTATTTTGTATAAACTAATTTTCTGAATGCTACATATATATATAAAAAAAATTATGAAGTGAAATCCTTTAATTAGATAATAATCTATTTTTATTAATGTTTATTCAAACCTGTTGTATGTAGTCAGTCTGTATAATAGTCTCATATTGTAATTTTCTTGTAGTCTCTAATCTTTTCTGAAATCTCGTTAGGTGTAAATATTTTCTGTAGTTTAATAAGGTGGTTGTTTATTATTTGTGTCTGAGTGGTATGCAAAGACTTTTATAAATGTATAGTGTCAGTGAACAAAACATTGTAGGTCACCAATGGCAGGCTTACTAAAAATTTTGAGTTATATTTATTTACCTATTCCAAAGAGCAAAGTTTCATAATGTAAGCCTTCCATTGATGAAATAAAAAGTTTAATGATCACATCAACCTGTATTTTACAGCTGCAATTTAGGTAAATTATTTTCTGTGTGTATCGATAAGAAGTCCTGATTATTTCCTGTGTGTATTGATGAGAAGTCCTAATGTCCAATATTTAGTTCAAGTAAACTCTCCTGATTGAGCAAATCTCAATTAAAGTCAAGACAGCAACCCACATATTTAAGCATTGTACACCAATTACCAGCTTCAAACACAAATAAACCAAATTTTACATAAGGGATATCTGTGTGTTAACCAAAACATAATACTTGCAAGTCACACTGGCTTAAAGCAGGAAGATATGTTAGAATAATAATTTTATTATAAACAATCAAATCAGTTTGGCCCTTGAGAAACACTCAGCATACAAAATAAAATTTTGAGTTCCTGCCTGAGCAGGTCAGCTTGCAACCTTCAGTGTAAGGAAGAACCTGCCTGCCCGACAATGCGCCAGCCAGGAAGTGGAGTGTCTCCACAGAGAGGATGAGAATAGACATCTCATCTGCAGCCGGGTTGTGCAAGGTCTGCATCAGGGGATAGCCCATGTGGTGCTATTACAAGTAGTAAGTAGCAGGGTCTATCAAACTGGCGCTGGAATAATTTTGATCAAATTTGTTAGCCCATGTGGTGCTATTACAAGTAGTAAGTAGCAGGGTCTATCAAACTGGCGCTGGAATAATTTTGATCAAATTTGTCCCCGAAATGCTTGGGGATGAATGAAATTTTAGAAATGACCAGTGATAAAATTCCATCAAGGAAATATAATAAGAAAAGAAAAATAAATATATCACTAGTAAAATTGCTGAAATGTTTCTCTTGTCATGAAACATTATTGAAGGTGTTAGGAAGGTGGATGGTGGGTGGTAAATTAAATAATAGCACTGTAAACTATATCAACTAGTCAGACTGCTATGAACCTAGAAAGTGATTATACAAAGACCATGCATATGGCTTCACACACAGATTGGGTACATCAATCATATAGGGGGAGGAGACTGACCTCACTTGGCCTTCAGAATGATATACTAATTGCTGTGCAATAAATTTTATAAGATCTGTTATCATAATCTGCATTTCCTCACCAAGAGTAATTGCTTGTGACATATATCTGATTAGGAAAAGATTAATGTTTTTCCTGTTGAGACTCCATAACCTCAAAATGTCAAATACCATAGAAATTATTCTCAAGCTAACACAGGTGGTCAATGATGTTAAATGTATCAATGATGTCAGCATCTTTCACCAGATATTAATTGTACTCTTGTTTGTATAAACAAAACTTATATTACATATAAGTAAAATATTTATTCAAACCTGTTGTATGTAGTCAGTCTGTATAATAGTCTCATATTGTAATTTTCTTGTAGTCTCTAATCTTTTCTGAAATCTCGTTAGGTGTAAATATTTTCTGTAGTTTAATAAGGTGGTTGTTTATTATTTGTGTCTGAGTGGTATGCAAAGACTTTTATAAATGTATAGTGTCAGTGAACAAAACATTGTAGGTCACCAATGGCAGGCTTACTAAAAATTTTGAGTTATATTTATTTACCTATTCCAAAGAGCAAAGTTTCATAATGTAAGCCTTCCATTGATGAAATAAAAAGTTTAATGATCACATCAACCTGTATTTTACAGCTGCAATTTAGGTAAATTATTTTCTGTGTGTATCGATAAGAAGTCCTGATTATTTCCTGTGTGTATTGATGAGAAGTCCTAATGTCCAATATTTAGTTCAAGTAAACTCTCCTGATTGAGCAAATCTCAATTAAAGTCAAGACAGCAACCCACATATTTAAGCATTGTACACCAATTACCAGCTTCAAACACAAATAAACCAAATTTTACATAAGGGATATCTGTGTGTTAACCAAAACATAATACTTGCAAGTCACACTGGCTTAAAGCAGGAAGATATGTTAGAATAATAATTTTATTATAAACAATCAAATCAGTTTGGCCCTTGAGAAACACTCAGCATACAAAATAAAATTTTGAGTTCCTGCCTGAGCAGGTCAGCTTGCAACCTTCAGTGTAAGGAAGAACCTGCCTGCCCGACAATGCGCCAGCCAGGAAGTGGAGTGTCTCCACAGAGAGGATGAGAATAGACATCTCATCTGCAGCCGGGTTGTGCAAGGTCTGCATCAGGGGATAGCCCATGTGGTGCTATTACAAGTAGTAAGTAGCAGGGTCTATCAAACTGGCGCTGGAATAATTTTGATCAAATTTGTCCCCGAAATGCTTGGGGATGAATGAAATTTTAGAAATGACCAGTGATAAAATTCCATCAAGGTCCAAAAACACAGATGGAACAGCTGCGTGCCCCCAAGGATTTAGGAGTGTGGACTTATTCACCTTCAATAAAGTCATGAGAAAAGAAAAAAAAAAAAAAAATAATATAATAATAAAATACACCTGTTGACATATAAAATCAAAATAATAAAAATACATTTTGTAATGATAGATCAAATATCATGATGCTTTGTGTTAAGAATTACCTAACAAATCTTGTGCATACTTAATTGAAGAAGATGACACTCTTATATACCTGCAGTAACTATCAGAGGACCAGCGTCCTAGTACTTTGACCAAATGGTCTTCAATATGTGCTTTACCTGCAGTTGTGGCAGCTCCAATGCGTAGGCTATGACCATTATAGTGATCGGGATTGAAGCCACATAAACTAAGTACATGTTTAATGCAATTAATGAAATAATTTCTTTCTAAGGCTAAAGAATTTTGTGAGATAAAAAATGGATCAGATGGGAGATTAGGAATTAGATTTTTTCGAATTTGAAAATATTTGATTAAGATTTTATAAGGACAAATCTGATTTTGTACTTTATGAAGTTGAATATCTATACCCTTCCTAAAAGGATCTGTTTTTGACTGTTTCAGTTTCAAAACGGTCATATCTTTATGAAATGTAATATCTCCAATACATAAATTTACAGATGAGTCATATTGGTTGGCATTCAAAACTGTGAATTCTCCACATCTCATAAAGCCATAAAAACCTACTGTACAGGCTGTTTCTAGCATTAAATCAATAAAAGGGGTAAACACCCCATGTCTAAGACGAAATATGATTTTTTCTAAAATCTCAAAAGTAATAGGTAATCTCTTATGGTTCCTAGGTTTTTGAAGTTTTTTGACAGAGTTCAAAATGTAAGTGAGTCTATCTAAAGGTGTGTTGTTGTCAGATTCTAAAGGGTCTTTACAACTATTCTGCAAATACCTGTATCTTATTCCACATAAATACAATTTAATGGTAGAATACTGTAGTTTTAAGAAATGGAAACAATATGCTATAAAGAAAATTAAAATGTCTTCTGAAATAGGAGGTAAGAAATCATATTTGAAATTGTTCAGCAACATAAATCTCTCAAAATGTTTGAAACCAGTTTCATATGCACTCTTTGTTTTGCTTGCAATAGCAACGTCCCAAAGTTGATTAACTATTTTGTTCAGGACCACATTACTTCTGAATTGGGTGGGCACTGATGAGGTTTTAGTGCTGCATTTGGAGCCAGTCTGCGGAAACGGTTTATCTGTAAACGAGACAAAGCGTCACTTATTTCATTTTCATATCCTGGTACATGTTTCGCACTAAAAT